AGGTACAACCTGAACACTGTAATCAGTATCAGGTACAACCTAAACACTGTGTACACTGTGATCAGTATCAAGTACAAACTGAACACTGTGTACACTGTGATCAGTATCAGGTACAACCTGAACACTGTGTACACTGTGATCAGTATCAGGTACAACCTGAACACAGTGTACACTGTGATCAGTATCAGGTACAACCTGAACACTGTGTACACTGTGATCAGTATCATGTACAAGCTGAACACTGTCTACACTGTGATCAGTATTAGGTGCACTGTGAACACTGTAATTAGTATCAGGTACAACCTGAACATTTTAATCAGTATTCGGTACAACCTGAACAATGTGTACACTGTGATCAGTATCAGGTACAACCTGAACACTGCTACACTGTGATCAGTATCAGGTACAACCTGAACACTGTGTACACTGTAATTAGTATCAGGTACAACTTGAACACTGTGATCAGTGTCAGGTACAATCTGAACACTGTGAACACTTTAATCAGTATCAGGTAAAACCTGAACACTGTGTACACTGTGATCAGTATCAGGTACAACATGAACACTGTGTACACTCTGATCAGTATCATGTACAACCTGAACACTGCTACACTGTGATCAGTGTCAGGTACAATCTGAACACTGTGAACACTTTAATCAGTATCAGGTACAATCTGAGCACTGTGTACACTGTGATCAGTATCAGGTACAACCTGAACACTGTATACACTGTGATCAGTATCAGGTACAACCAGAACACTGTGTACACTGTGATCAGTATCAGGTACATGTACAACCTGAACACTGTGAACACTGTAATTAGTATCAGGTACAACCTGAACACTGTGTACACTGTGATTAGTATCAGGTACAACCTGAACACTGCTACACTGTGATCAGTATCAGGTACAATCTGAACACTGTGTACACTGTAATTAGTATCAGGTACAACTTGAACACTGTGATCAGTGTCAGGTACAATCTGAACACTGTAATCAGTATCA